TTGGCCATTATGGAGAACAGCATGTTAGACCAGAGGAACTTTAGGTATTCTCTGCCTGGTTTTAAGATCTTAATACAGGTATATGTTCGTTTCCATGTTTTGCAATGTTTAACTATTATGCAAAGAGACAGCAAATGTGGATCACAGAATCCCTGAAAAATATATTTAGCTGGTTCTCTGGTTCCTAAGGCACTGCATATTAGTCCCATGCAAAGATATATTTCTTCTTGGCAACTGTAAGGCTAGAAACTTGGTGTTCTTCAGTGAATATTGGCATTCTCCAGAAACTGAATTCTGCATCTGCTGGAATTGTTGGAAGGAAATTAGCCTGTTAGGATAATTATTTTTATACCACCACATTCCCAAAGGACCCCTGGCAGATTGCAGCATAAAATCAGAACAACGTAATCACATAAATAAAGTAATATATCATTAAAAATTACAATCTAATTTACAAAAAATTACAATCTACAGTCTCATATATTAAATGCTTTCTTAAACAATTCTTCCTAAATACTGGGAGGAAGGATGCCATATAGGTCTTTGGGAAACATTTTTCAGAGGGTGGAAACCATACCTGGAAAGTACTGCCTTCTAACCCCTTCTCTTGAGAGGGAGGAAATCTTCAGAGAGGGTTGCAGGTTCTGCTTGATGTGGATGGTCCTGCAGGTATCTGGGCACCAAGTCGGATCGGTCTGTTTAGGTCAAAAGCAGCCCTTCGAGATGTACCCAGAAACCTATTGATGGCCAGTGCAGAGCGTGCAGCACCAAGGTTATATATCCATAGCAGCTCTCACCTGCCATTTTGTACCAGCTGCGCTTCTGAGTAGTCTTATAAGCCAGCCCCAGGTAGAGCACACTGTAGGCATCTATACAAGAGTGACAAGGGCCTGAGTCACTCTTGCCAGGATCTCTTTTTGAGATGAGCTTTGTGATGGCTAGTAGGAACCCTGTTAGTTTTCCCTTAAGATTAATTAGGATTGCATAGAGGTGGTCCTCAGCTAATGGCCACTCATTCAGTGACCAAAGTTACGACAACGCTCAGTGAGTGGTACTTATGATCAGTCCTTGAAGTTCCAGCCATTGCAGTGCCCATGCAGTCATGTGATTGAGATCCAAGCGCTCGACAACCACCCCGCGTTTCTGCCTCTTGCAGTGTCCCACAGTCACATGATCACAATTTGCAACCTTCCCTGCCAGCTTCCCACAAGCAAAGTCAACGGGGAAGCCAGCAGGAAGTCGGAAGTTGCAGTCACATGATGTCCTCTCTTAATGTCCTGTGATGATTTGCTTGCTTGCATCTGATCTTAGCATGGTGACCTTATTTTCCAACCTGATCTTCCATTTCGGTGGTGCATTGTTTGGCTTTATTTCTTGTTTGTTGATTTTGCAGGCAAGGTATTCAGTTACAACTGCAGCTGTGCTGTACATCAGTT